ATTGTTGTTTGGTGGGCCCGGGCTGGGGATTAGAACCCGCTACCTTAGGTGTATGTGGCTGGCGCCTTAGCCGCTTGAGCCACAGGCGCTGAGCCCAAAGCCTTACTTCTAATCTACCATTCTGTCTTGTATTTTTCTGTATTATTCTTTAGTGGCTTAATGTTACATATCTTAATTTGAGAGATTTGAATTTTTTTTTTTTCTTTTTGAGACAGAATCTCACTATGTCACCCTTGGTAGAATGCTATGGTGTCCCAGCTCACAGCAACCTCAAACTCTTGGGCTTACGTGATTCTCTGCTTTAGCCTCCCAAGTAGCTGGGACCACAGGCACCTGCCACAATGCCTGTTTTTTTTTGTTGTTGTTGTTGCAGTTGTTGTTTAGCTGTCCCAGGCCGGGTTCCAACCTGCCAGCCCAGGTGTGTGTGGCCAGCACCCTACCCACTGAACTTTGGGCACCACCTGAGATTTGAATTTTTTTAATTGCAGGTATTATATTACTTATTCTTTTGTTTTTAACATAATGATCAGTGTACAGCTGAACTGCTGCATCTGTGGAGTCAACCAGCCAGGGATCAAAAATACAGTCTTACAGTCGCTGAATCTGTACTGAACACGTACAGACTTTTTTCTTTGTTGTTATTTCCTATATACATTATAACAATTATTTCCATAGCATTTACATTTGATTAGGTCTTTTATTTTATTTTTGAGACAATCTCAGTATGTCGCACTTGGTAGTGTGCCATGGCATCACAGCTCATGGCAACCTCAAACTCTCGGGCTTAAGCAATTCTCTTGCCTCAGCCTCCCTAGTAGCTGGGACTACAGACGCCCACCACAATACCTGGCTGTTTTTTGGTTGCAATTGTCATTGTTGTTTAGCTGGCCCGGGCCGGGCTTGAACCTGCATCCTTGGTGTATGTGGCAGGCACTCTGCTCACTGAGCTATAGGTGCTGAGCCTTATTAGGTATTTTAAATAATCTAGAGATGATTAAAAGTATATTGGAGGGAATTATAATGGAAATGTTCTGTGTCTGTGCATCCACTATGGTAGCCACCAGCTGTTAGTGGGTAGAGGTTGTAGTCAAATACTACACCATTTTATGTAGAGACTTTTGAGCAACCTTGCGTTTTGGTGACCTGGAATTAATCCCAAAGGATAATGACTGTGTAAGATCAAAGAAGGGTTTTATTTGTTTAATTAAAGTGATGAGAAGTGAATGGATTTCATTCTGTCTATTATAGGAAGAAGTTCTAAAGGATTTTGAAGACTTGGCTAGAAAACTCCCATGGTCAGAGCCTTTGAAAGTATGGAAAATTAACACCACTTTTAAGAAAAAAAAAACAAAGCGCAAAAAGATAAATCAAAATTCAAGTAAAGGGAAGATTGATAATGGAAAAGAAGACAAAACAGATGAGGCCGATGTTAAAAAAGAGTTGCCTGGCAATGCTTTAGATTCACATATCTTAGATTATTATGAAAATCCAGCCATCAAAGAGGAGATATCTACATTGGTAGGTGATGATTTGGCATCTTGCAAAGATGAGACTGATGAGAGTGCAAAACAAGAAACTGAGCCTCAAGTGCTAAAATTTAGAGTCACATGCAACAGGGCAGGAGAGAAACATTGCTTTACCTCCAATGAGGCTGCAAGAGATTTTGGAGGTGCTATTCAAGATTATTTTCAGTGGAAGGCTGACATGACCAACTTTGATGTGGAGGTATGTACCTCTATGATTATCATGATTCAAGAAGGCTGTCGTAGATTTATTTCCAGACTAACCCAGTCTTATGGACAATTAAACTGAGGCAATAGAGCTGGTAGGATATGGTTAAGAGGTGCATAGGCTACGGAGACAGAGCTTTAGAGGCAAATTTTGACTCCACAGCTGTATAACTTTACCTAAGGTAGTCTTTCTAAGACTCTGTTTGAAATGGAGTCAATAGTGGCATATAACTTTAAGGTTATTCTGAAGGTTAAGTGAGGTAACTAACACATTTATCTGGCATGTATTAATACTAAGTAATCAATAGATGGGAACTATCAAGATTTTCTTATTTATTTATTTATTTATTGAGACTGAGTCTGTCTCTGTCACTCTAGGTAGAGAGTGGTGTCATTGTAGCTCACAGCAACCTCAAACTCCTGTGTTTAAACAATTTTTTTTGCCTCAGCCTCTCAAGTAGTGGGGACTGCAGGTACCTGCCACTATGCCCAGCTAGTTTTTTCTATTTTTGGTAGAGACAGGGTCTCACTCTTGCTTAGGATGGTCTTTGACTCAGGCAATCCACCTGCCTTAGATTCCCATAGTTGTAGGATTACAGGCATGAACCACTATGCCCAGGCAAGATTTTATTTCTTTTTTTTTTTTTTTGTCAAGATTTTATTTCTAATCTGGTACTTTTTTTTACTACATTATGTGGACATTCAAATTATAAAATTGAGGCAGAATTAAAACAATACTTTGTTTTCGTGTGTCTTGGTTGCAGAGCTTTGCTACTAAAAAACCATGAAGTTCCTTTTTTTTTTTTCCCTTGAGACGGAGTCTTATTCTATTGCCCTCGGTAGAGAGCAGTGGCGTCACAGCTCATAGCAACCTCCAGCTCTTGGGTTTAGGTGATTCTCTTGCCTCAGCCTCCTGAGTAGCACCCACCTGAGTACAGGCACCCACCACAATGCCCGGCTATTTTTTTGTTTGGCCAGGACCAGGTTCGAACCTGCCACCCTTGGTATATGGGGCCAGTGCCCTACTCACTGAGCCATAGGCACTGCCCTAAATTTAAATTCTTTGCAATTATTAAAGCCTCAAAAAGTCTTATTAATAAATTGTAGTTTGGACAATTCTAAAACTGTTTTGTCTTATTCAACTTTACTATAGGTTCTTTTGAATATCCATGGTAATGAAATCATTGTGGGCATTGCTTTGACTGAAGAGAGTCTCCACCGAAGAAATATCACACATTTTGGACCTACAACTCTTAGATCAACTCTTGCCTATGGGATGCTCAGGTGAGAGAATGAATTTGCTGTTCAGATTAAAGTGGCACCTGAGTTGAATTTTTCTGCTCAAAACTCTGATTTTGTGTGTGTGTGAAATATTGTTGGAATTTAGTGGATAAAGAACAGGGTAAAAAGCTAATGATCTATTTGTTTCCCCTAAATCTAACATTGACAGTACATTGACTCCTTGTGATATCGATCTGAAAATATCCCTTAATCAGTGTCTCAGTTTTCTTGATTTTAAAATGAGATAGTAGTTCATGCAATAACAAGGGTTATTGCATTCTCATTTACAAAAGAAATACTGTATTTTGAGAGGAGAGTAAATTTTGCTCTTTTGCCCCTTTTTATTGGGTAATTCTTTCCACCACTTGGACAAGTTTATCTTCTTTAAGCTTTTATTTTCGAGACTACAAAATGGTTTTGATATTATCCTTAAAGAATTATTAAGAGTAAATGCAGGAACATACACAAAATACCTATTTTATATAGTACCTGGCATGTCTTGGTAGTTAAATACAGGTTTGCATTGCCTAAGGACTGGGATACATTCTGAGAAATGTGTCATCAGGTGATTTTGTCATTGTGAAAACATCATAGAGTGTACTCACGCAAAGTTAGGTGGTATAGCCTACTTACACAACTAGACCACATGGGATAGTATTCCTCTTAGGCTACAAACCTATGCAGCAGTTCTCAACCTATGGGTTGTGACCCCTCTGTAACATTGAAAATACATCCTGCATATCAGATATTTACATTACGATTCAGAACAGTAGCGAAATTACAGCTATGAAGTAGCAGTGAAATTAATTTTATGGTTGGGGGTCACCACAACATGAGGAACTGTATTAAAAGGGTCGCGGCACTAGGAAGGTTGAGAACCACTGCTATTTAGTGTGTTACTATACTGAATACTGTAGGCGGTGGTAATGCAATGGTAAGAATTTATGTATCTAAATATAGGAAGGATACATTAAAAGTTATAACTTTTTATTATAACTTTATGGACCACCTTTGTATATTTGGTCTGCTGTTGACTGAAAAGTTGTTATGGGGTACATGACTAATTTATTGTATTTCCTTTGCTTCCTCTTTTATCATTCTCATTCAGGGAGTAACAGTTCAGCACAATTAGAGCATATTAATTCAATGATGATAATAGAAAATTAGGCCCATTTGAATAAGGAAAAGCTTGTAGTCTTCATTTATTTAACAAATGTTTTTTATTTTCTGCCAAGCAATATGGAAGAAGCCAGGAATACAGAGAGTTATTTGGGTGCAAATATTAGAAAGCTAAGTAAGCTAGTTTAGGATTGTGCAAACGGGAGTGTTATTGGAAAGATAGGGAGAAATCTTGGGGAATCCACAGAAAAACTGAATGCTGTGTTTCAAGAAGGGTGCTTGGAAAACCACCAGAAACCTAAGCTGCCACTTTTCCTTCCCCTTAGGGCCTGTGTACTTCTGTCTCTGTTCATCACACACATGCTGTTCCTCATCTAAAAATATATTTCTGATTTCAAATGAAGAACCCATACCAGCTGGGTGTTAAGCTCTTTATTCCAAATTTCTGAAAGAGGAGATCTGATCAATATAGTTTTGGTCAGGTGTCCACCCCTGACCTATCAGCATTGGTTGCTTACCTGGAGTACAATTGCTTACTACCCTAAAATAGTTGCCAAGGATTCTATTGCTGTTTGTTGAGGAGGAGGAAGAGGGAGGTAGAGCGGGACAACTATTACGATGAGAACCCAGTGTTAGTCCCCAATAATCTGTCTTGTTGGGGAGATAAATAATTATACATGTGATAAGTTCCATTAACAGAATATGGAAAAGTTGGAAGGCCAGGAAAAGGTAAGAGAAACCCAGTGACTTCTCAGGCTGGGATGTTTCCTAGAAGGAATAGCACTTTAAGCTACTAACAGTAACAGAAACAGCCTCCAATCCTGAGTCTGTTACCTACCAGGTTTGTGTCCCTGGACAGGTAACTTAGTATTGCCTTCTATTAGCTTATCTTTAAAAATGAGAATAATTACAGTAATCTGCGTAGCAGGATTGTTGTTGAGGATTTAAAGAGATTATGCATGGAAAGAGCTTAAATCCATGTGTGGCAAAGAATAAATGCTCAAAGTAAAGCAGTTATTTTATATCAATGCTATTATCTTTAAAATTAAATTCAATAGTAAAGGAATATAGAATGTCTAGTTGCCAGTAAACTTGCAGTGATACATGTTTTACTTGAGACATATTTGAGTTTTTTAATGTAATACTGGTTGGTTACCTTTTTTTTTTTTTGAGACAGTGTCTCACTTTGTCGCTCTGGGTAGAGTGCTGTGGCATCACAGCTCACAGCAACCTCCAGCTCTTGGGCTTAGGTGATTCTCTTGCCTCAGCTTCCCAAGTAGCTGGGACTACAGGTGCCCGCCACAACACATGGCTATTTTTTGTTGCAGTTTGGCTGAGGATGGGTTTGAACCCGTCCCCTTTGGTATATGGGGCTGGCACCCTACTCATTGAGCCACAGGTGCCGCCAGTTACTTTTATTTTAAATTAATTACTTAATTAATTAAAATTTGTTTTTGAGACAGAGTCTGTTGCCCTTGGTAGAGTGCTGTGGCAGCAACCTCATACTCTTGGGCTACAGGCGCCCACCACAACACCCAGCTATTTATTTATTTTTTGGTTGTAGTTGTCATTGTTGTTTGGCAGGCCTGGGCTGGATTCGAACCTTCCAGCCCTGGTGTATATGGCTGGTGCCCTAGCTGCTGAGCTATAGGTGCTGAGCTGGTTACATTTTTAACTGGTTTTTTTTAAGTATTTTTTAAGTAGTCTTTTTTTTTTT